TATTATAAAAACTAATTTTGCAAAAAAGTAATTCTTATTTTTAAATATAATTGTGCAAAGTTTTATTTAAATATTTTAGCATTTTAAAAAAATAAATCAGAGCTAAAAAAATGCAAGAACATAGGCAAATTTGCCTGCATTGGTTTACATATTAAGAGATAGTATTTCTAATTTATCCTTGATCTAATTCTATTAAAAATGATTACAAGATCAGCCCAATTTTAGGTTCTTGTGTATCTACTTACAATTACTTTTCTACAGTTGCTAAGGCTTCTACTTGTAGTTGTGACCAAGCTATTAAGTCTGTCATTTGATGTTTCAAGTCCCTAATTCTGTAGTGTAGGTAGTATTCTAAATAATCTAGATCTGACAAATTTGAATTATCATTCAATCTAAACCATAAGATCAGTTTTGGCCAAAAGTTTTGGATTGCTTGGATTAAGCCTAATTTTGAGATTTGGGTCTAATATTTTCTTTTACATTGCACTAATATATAAATTCCAAGTTGATTATATTAAAATATTTAACTATTAAATACTTTAGATTGGTTTCAAATTTAAACTAAAATTTTGAATTTAGTTGAGTTTGGTTCAATTCCAGATTAATTCAAGTTTTTTAATCCGAATTGAAACACTAGGTGTAGAGTTCTGTTAAATCTGCAGTTCTCTAATGTTTGCTTATTATCCTATTAAACCACTTTTGTCCTTGTAGAGATTCACTATTCTTGGACCAGATATCTACTTCATATTTCTCTTTACAAACCAAGTTTTTAGTTTTACCAAACTTCCAAACCAGTTGGCTTAGTAGAGTTGGCCTTAAGTATCTTATAGTCTCCTTTTTTTAATACATACTTCTAGAACATATGTCTTTTTTTTCTAGTATAACTCTGGTGACCAGGTTGGTAAAATCCCAAACCTATAAAGATCTTGTTGTTTAGATTTTTCAAATCTTTAGTTGGTCTGATTCTGTTTTGTAGTATCATCATATCCTTACTACTTTCTAAACTTGGGTCTTGCCAAGCTAGTTTTGGTTCTTCTAGTTCTCTTTTAGTTTTATTTTAGTTTTAGAGACTTATTTTGGGTTTGCACTGCCTAGACCAGTTTGTATTTCTTTATGTAATACAAAAGCTCTAGAACCTTCTAGTTTCTCGATGATAATGGTGTGACTAGAGTTATAGATAATTAATCTAACTAATCAATGAAGATCTGTTACTATAATACAAAGAATTTTATTCAAAATATCACTGGTGGGATTCAAACTCTATACCTTTGATTAATATAGCTTGGGGTGTAACAACTCTACCACTTTACTACATTGCCACACCCTATTTTATTTTTTTATTTTTTATTTTTTTATTTATTATTATTTTTTTTTTAATATTAAGGTAACTACTTAGACCATTGGCACTTTATTAATTCAAATAGGTTCATCAGTTAAATAGATTAATGATATATTACAGTAATATTATAAGAGTACAACTAGTTATACATACAACTTTTGGTTGTCTAATTTAAGTAGTTTGCTTAAAGATTTTATACTAGCTACCATACCTATAGCCTAACTAGGAAGCTATTTATTTAAACTCTCTGGCTTCAACTCCTACACTATATTCCTTCTAATATATTCTTTTAGAATAATTTATTATTAAAGACTTTAAAACTTTAGTCTTCAATTAGCTTAGTTTCTTAAGGAGGATATTTATTCTTATAGTAAATTTAACAGAATAGTACATATTCTATACATGTATTCACATATATGTTTGATAACTTTTTACTAATTAGTACCTGTTGTGTTGCTACTACCAGGTTTGTATCTCAAGCTATCTTTCAGATATTGCTATAACCCAATCTGTATCTTAAGCCACAATCTTTCTAATTAGTTTCTTATTATATACTTCTTGCTTTTGCAAGGTTCGCAATAATAATTTAAATAGTTGGTTTATAATTGGTTAATTGACTTAAACTGAATAAAGTTTGGTTGACTGGTTAAAGAAATTTTTAATTGGTTGACTTGATATATTCAGTTGAGGGTTGTATATCAGAATCCCAACATACAAAATCCTGGCAAAAAAATCCCAATATACAAAATCCCGACAAATTAAAATCCTAAAAATATTAAAATTAGAAATTTAATTTGTCAGGATTTTGTATATTGGGATTTTGTTGCTGGGATTTTGTGTGGGATTCTGATATACAACCTCAGTTGAGAATTAGATAATTAGTTGGTAGAATCGATATAATATAAAAATAATATAAAGAGAGAGTAAAGGCTCTGGAAAGTTCCAGAAAAAAAAATAAAAAACAAACAAGTTGAGACAAACATTTAAGCAAAGCTTTGAGAATTTTCAAAGATAAAACAAAACACAAAGATAGTTAATCTTAACTGATTGACAACTGGTTGAATAAAATAATTCAGCTTAGTTAACTAATTAGAAAAATTTTTCTTAGTTTAAATTATTAGTTTACAACAACTTTGGTATCTATATTCTACCTTTTTTTTTCCTAGATTTCTTATTAGTTCCTTTCTTGCTTTCAGCTAGCAACTTGGAAGGATTGGTTTGCTCAAACATTAGGTACTTTATGGTCTCTCTCCTCTTGGTATATGCTTCTAGAGTACAGGTTTTTTTTTTCTAGTAATAAGCTAGTAATTTAGCTAGTATATCCTTCTATTTAAAGATCTGGTTACTCAGTTCTTCGATCTCAGTCTCTAATTCTAAATTTGATCTTCCTGTAGTACTGTTAAAGGTCATTACTACTTTTTAACTTGGGATTTTCTAAATGGGTTTCAATCATCACAGTTTCTTGACCTTTTATATGCCAAAGCTCTTATATAAACATAGTATTACCAAGATTACAAATTTTAGAACCTAACTAATTAATAGATAATTGTTACTATATCACAAGCTTATTTTTCGAAAACATTGTTTATAAGATTCAAACTTTGGGCCTGCTACTTAATAGAGTAATAACTAGACTATTTCACTAAGCTACTGTATCTTATAAAATTTTTTTAATTTCTTGATAATATTTGTAAAACCACAATATTGTAATTAATTAGTAATCCATAAGTCAACCAGAGAGTAATCATAGTGAAACTTGATGTGAATCACTTATAGAAATTGTAGCTTAGCAAATGTGACATACATACATCTAAAATTTTTTTTTATACTAAATTAATTACTCTTCTAACTTAAAAAACTTTTGTAGAGCTTGTTAATACATATCTAATAGTGATTAAATCATCTAAATCGGCCTGATGGATACCAAGATATCTTTAAAAAATCTTTTTTTAACTATATAAATTTCTTTAAAACAATACTATTGTTTTACAAAGATATTTACATAGTTAAAGAAAGGTTTTTTAAAGATATCTTGGCATCTATCAGGCCGATTTAGATGATTTAACTACCATTAGATACGTCTTAACAAGCTCTACAAAAGTCTCTTAAGTTAGAAGAGTGGTTAACTTACTATTAAAAAAAAGTTTTAGATGCGCGCACGCCACATTTGCTAAGCCACAATTCTATAAGTGATCCGCGTCACGTTTCACTATAATCATTCTCTGGTTGACTCGTGAATCACCAATTAATAGATAAACTTTTTTTCTATTATATTAATTTATTAAATATACCATAATTGAAGTCTCTAAGCTTTGGTTTTTTAAAAATTGTTTTCAAATACCTTCATATTAGTTAATACAAAAAAAAAAGTACAACACTTTTGTTGTAAAACAGCTACAAAAAAATCCAATTTATCATATAAACATTAGATTTGATTTACATAGTGCCCCAGTGAAACTTGCATCTGATGCTGACCAGCATTAAATGATCGACAATAATTGGCCTTAATTTTACCCTAACCCTAATCTAATTTAGGCCGGGTGCCATCTGACGCAAGATATAATAAATATATAGTAAAATATTAAACCGCTAGGGTGAGACTGGTTTTGACAGGGGTGAGCTCGCCTCTAACTAGTCCTTACACTGGTACGTACGTACGTACGTACACTATACGGCATGATAAAATATTATAATCGAGATATCAACTTAAAGACGTTTTTACAGTTCATATAGATCAATTTCAATGCCACCCTCTGACTATGCTAAATTTATTGTTTTCATTTCATGGGCTTGTAGCTCGTGGACTAAAGGTAGGAATTAATAGTCTTACGTTATTTAAACTTAAACAGAGCTCAGCTTCAGATTGTTCACTTTCTTATTTTGCGATAGCTTATCTGGTGCTTTATAATGCGCGTGGAGGCGCTCCGTTAATTTTTCGCAAGAGGCTCGCTGAAGATGAGAAAAAAATAATGGCATGCTGGTATATGCTGGTACGAATAATTAGGATTTGATTACAATGAAAGCATCATTTTAATTATATTATTTGACTCGGAATGGTCGAAATATAAAAAAATTTTGATGTGCTAAACATATGATACGAACCGACTATTAGCGGAGAACTACGCTAGGTCAACAATCCTTAGATTTTTTTTAAAAAAGATTTGATATTAATTATAGTATAATCAAAGTTATCTATATAGATGGGCACGTTAATAACTATTATCTTATCGATTTCTTGCATACGTATCTCTACAGATTGTATACGCTCTTTTGCGATGGTTGAAGTACAAGGTAGACTTACATATTTCTTACATTTTGACATCAAAAAGTGGCACAATGGACTGATCACCATATTTTATAAATAGTCTTTGTTTTCACCTCGTAATACACCTCTTCCACCTCTTACAGCATTAATTCCAAAACTATTTTGGATTTATTTTCCTACATTATTTATTGAAGAATTTATGCATTTTTTCCTTTTGAGGCATTTTGGTCATATTCGTAATTCTACATGCTTTACCATTCGAGGATGTCCCGCCCCGGAAGGTACAAAAGATGAAGATTGTTGTGTATGTTATGGTGTTGGCGTGGGTTCCAGTGCGACATCCTTTTATTCAGATCAGGATAATGATGAAATTGTGGATGAGGATTCGTTAGGGATTCTAGAAAATTACTGCAAGGTTCCTCATCACGTAGCCCATCGACCTTGTATGTTCCGATGGTATACTACAGGATTGACTGGAATATCGCGGACTCTTCCAGGTCAAAATCTAAATTCAAGGCTGACGCAAATCAAATTGTTAAGACCAATGCCGACGTGCCCAAGTTGTCGTGGAAAGTTGATGGTTGATATTCTCCAAAAAGATTTACTAGAAGAAGAGGAAGTTATAGGAAAACGAAACAATACTAATAAATGGTTGGTCAAACTTAGATCTTTAGCAAGAGAATGGCGTAATATAATGAATTGGCAATGCATAGTGGCGAGGAGTGGAATTACAATTACATATATTTTGATAGCTTTGATAATTTTAAAATGGAGGGAGAATATAATTCGAAGAAAAAAATCACGAAAAGTTGTTATACCTAATCTGTAAAATCTCTGAATTTTTAAAACTGGCTTAAACGGTGTGATAAAAAAAAACTTTAATTTGCACCACGTATCAATTTATAAACGAAATTTATTTACATAGTCACATGGCTTCGCGAATTACATCATTAACAGTTAACGCTAATTGATTTGATAAATATTCTTACGTACCTATGTACGTACGTATTTAAATGCTACCTTGTGAGTTTTATGATAAATTTAAAGTCTGCCTTTTATGAGCTCGATGTTGTTTTGATCTATGGACGAATATTATTGCTTGACTAGTTCTAGTATTCTCCTGAATGTCAATCTTGCTTGTAATTGGTGGGTATAGATATTATATCAACATCTTCAGTATTAAATACCGGTAATCATCCTAAAAATTTTTTTTACCTCCCACGACCTCGAGGCTCCTTGTATAACTTGTACATAAAAGAAAAGAATAATAAAATGCTTCGTCAGCAGATTAATGGAGGCTTTGGGATTCAACAAGAAGTCTCACAAGTCCCTGTTGTCAGTACAGGTAAGTAATTTACGGTACTGTTATTACTCTAAATTTTTCTAAACGCGAGAATAATGACGTGACAAATAAAGCTTTGGACGTGACCAGACAACGATTTTAAAGCTAGGAAATAAGATATTTCTTTCAAAAATAAAAATAACAACAACAACAACATCTTATTTGTCAAACTTATAGACTTGAAGTTTGTCTGTGTACCTCAAACTTTATCAAGTTCATCTGAAAATTCGGTACCTCAGCAACTCTTTTCTCCCGCACCTTCTTCTCCTATTACCTCGTTCGATTACCTTGACTCTGTAACACCGGATGATATTCCTGAGTTCAAACAGTACAATAAAGAAAAGTATGAGAGTGCAAAGTCGGGCAGTCGTAGAAGGCGTAAACCAACACGTGAAGAATGTGACACCGCTTCTTCATTGGATGGGTATGAAGAGGAAGACGGCAACAGGCAATTTTTATTTTCTTGTTTAGTTATTCGATAGACAAACTTCGAATACACGAAATAGATTTGTTTGAAGAGAGTCGACGCGCTTTTTTGGGCTTATCAAAAGTTATTTTCCATTCATATAATTCTAGTTCCGTGTCACATGCCGAATTTCGCCGCCAAATACATATTCAATCCGAACAAAGACGACGCGCAGAAATTAAAGATGGTTTTGAACAACTTCGCCGTCAACTTCCTTTTAATACGAACGGGCGCAAAATGAGCAAAGCTACACTGCTTCAAAAAAGTAATATCTCGCGTTTCATATCAATTAGGTCTTTAATTTGTATCATAATTCGTTATGTCCAAATAATGCCATACATTATTTCTCGCGTGTTTATTAAAAACATGAGCTGATTTATGATCACGCGTCGCAAAATGTATTTTTAATCAGCCGTCACACATCTTAAGAACATGAAATCCAAAGAGAACTTTCTTTTTGATGAAATTAACCGTCTCCACCAATACATCACCTATTTGTCCGCTGAACTTGAGAGAGAAAAAAAGTATATTTTATTTCTTATCCTATGTTTTTTTTTTTATTTTCTAATTCATTTAAAATTCATTCATTTTTATTAATCCATTTTAGAATGAACGCCATATATCAACAACAGGAGACCCTTGACAAGATCTATGCGATTGGGTTGTAAATCAATTATATGTTACATAAGCCGTCTGGACCGGCAAGCGTGTGTCAACCGAGCCAAAACTCAACGTTTAAATACTCACTCTTTTTTTTTTTTTTTTTTTTTTTTTCTCTTCAAAAGCCAATTTTCTTTTTGTCACTAGTGTTCCTGGCCAATAGTGAAAAGGTCGGCAAAAGCTAATTTCGGCTTAGCCACAGATTTTTTTTTTTTCAAAATCGGCTGACCAATTCTTATAATGATAATTCACGTATAAGCTTTTGATCATTACAAATATATTGAATCATATTTTCTTGCGTAACATCAAATAACGGATTTAGATCAAGGAGAAATGATACAATATTTTAATTACATTAAGACTTTTAATTATTGCTATAAATCATAAACCGTAATATGGCGCTATTGACGGAAATTTAGAATTCCCATTGTGGCTTTTAGATTTTTCCAATATTCCAATAATTATCCGTTTATCCATTTATCTATTGGATATCCATAGGATAACCGTTTTACTATTGATATCCGGATAATTATCCGAATATTTGTCAGATTATCCGGATACCAATAGTAAATGGATATCCGGATAAATTCAGATAATTCAGATATGGATAAATGGATAACAGATTTATCCGGATTGGACCTCTAATCATGAGTCTTTTATTTGTAGCGCTTTAGATCACTCTAAGATCTGACAGTTCAAGGTTTCGCCAATATTCAAGATGAAATATACATTACTTACATTACTCATAAGATGCACTAAGTTAAAGGCCGGATTAATAATTGATGATTTTTTCATGGAAACTAAAAATAAATTACATGTTTACTTATTTGATAGGCATAATTGTAGTTTTCTAAACATAAAATTCTATTTTAGCCATTTACATACAGATATAAGATATAGTAATATTTTCATAATAAAATTCAAGGTATATATGAGTTTATTTATACATAAATTAAAAATTTTTTTTTTTAAGAAATATTCAAGACTACTGTAGCTATATACGTAAATGGATAAAATCAACATAAAAAATTCACAATTAATAAAAATCAAGTGATTTTTCACTACACAACTTAAGGAACACTAGATTTCAATTCGCATAACTTAAGGATCTAATAATGAATACACTGTTATCCTAGGATTTTGGCCTTTCAAGATCATAAATCCGATAATACTTCCGCCTTGTGGCATAAAAATTTAGTAGCAATAATTTTGTATTACCAACGGGTCTGTACCAACGGGTCTGTGTCAACAGAGATTTATAAACATGTTCTTGATTGTACAAAATAGTTTATATCAGACGATGCCACGCCTAAGATTTTACAAGGTGATAATTTTACGTTACATCAGATCATGTAATGTGATTGGTCAGAACATCATCGTAATATATTTTGTTCTAGATTTATTGTATTTATATAGCTAGTATTTTTCGATCCTATTTTTGAAAGGCCATCCGGATTCTATCAAATCTTGATTGGATTATATATACAGTATAAAGCTAGCTTTTGAGCAATTCGAGTGACCTGGATATCTGGATTGAAATAAAAGATTAGTTCAGATTGTTGGATTTAGGATAGAATAATTTTTTAAATTATATATATATATATATATATATACTGTATTTGAGCCTATAGGTATTTGCAAGTACTACAAAGTTTAATAATTAAAATTTCAGAGTAAGACCCAATTTACTAACTCTTTTCAACAATCACTAGTATCAAAATTTGCTAAAACAAAACTTAAATTTTCTTTAAACTGCTCTTTTTAACATATTTTTTTTATTAAATTTTATTGTTTTACATCTCAATTTATATATAGTTATCAAGTTTTATAGCTCTAAACAAGGTTTTAACTAAACTAAATAATATTTTATCAAAATAAATATCTTTTGAGTTTATTTAAATTCTGCCAAAAAAACTGGTCTTGTTTTTTAAAACAAAGTTTTTTGGCTCACTCATAGTTTCATTTTGATATAAAATTTATTACAAATAGTTTAAAATTAACAATTTTACAATTAAATTGTTCTAAACTCTTTTTTCTTTAATTTGTTTTTCTTTTTTTTTTTCTCTCTTTTTCCTTTTTTTTTTCTACCCAAACATGTTTAAGAAACCTCAAAATTATTAATTTACTCAATTAATAATTCTATTTAAATTTTTTTTTTTTATTCTTTATTAAATTTACACAAAATAAATAATTACAAATCTGTATTCCTTTTAATTTATACAAATCTGTATAGTGCTATCTACTATTTTTAGCAACCTTACACAAGCTACTTTTGTACTACAAGCTATACCAGCCCAGGAACTCTAAGAAATTGTTTTTAAAAATAGCAAAAATTGTTTTAAATAATAGCAAAAAATGTTTTTTATTGCAATATTAAAAATTTACTTAATTTTGATCAAAATATATTATATTTAGCATTTGTAATAAATTTTTTTTATCACTTTTCTAAAGAGGGATGCCGGGAAGTATAATTTATTTGTACTGAATTTAATTTAAGAATTCATTTATTGTTTGCTAGAATATTAAATAATTAGAAGCCAAATGTATTTTGTGACAAGAATACCTGTTCTTAATTCTTGATAGATTGGTAATATTGCCAATTCATTGTGTATTTTTTGATCAAATTTTTTACACACGTGAAAATACACCAAATGTGATTGTTGTAAAAAAATTGTTAACCAATCAAATTTGTAAATTTTGTTGTACAATATAAGAAAGATATAATATTGTTTTAAATTGCAATATTCAATAAAAATTGTAAAAAAATGTTTTCTAATCTTTTTGAAATTTTTTAGGGTCCCGGTACTAGCCATAGCTACAAAAAAGTTATGCAATTAGTGCAACATTATATAAAACAAATTTTACTACTACATAAAACTTTTTTTTTTCTTTTTGATAATATAGCTATCTAATTTGCCAAAATATCTATCTTAACAATACAAGATCCTGATTTTTATAATCTTTTTTTTTTTTTTTATTAGTAAATTGCTTATATACTATAATTTTTATTAATTAAAAACTTAAGAACTTATTATATATTACATATTACAGGAATTAAGTTGTACTATATTAAACTATCTAATAACATCTACCCTAAGCAATTTAGTTATATTTTTGCTATATATTAGAATTTAATCAATAGCTATTACCTTATTAATTAACTTCTAGCTAGTGTACAATCCATCTTTTCCTATATATAGTTTTTTGTATTGTTATTAGTATCTTGTCCCTCTATTTACTTCTTGCAATAACTTTCTTTTTCTCTTAGTTTGGTTTATTCTGGTGGTTTTTCACTCTTGTTGCTTTCAAATTGGTGTATATAGCCTTATATTTGATTTAATACTACTCTGATTTGGATACATGTTATGCTACCGTTATTGTGTTCATATTTCAAGCCAACTTTTGGGATGTTGCTATAACACAATCTATATTTCAAGCTACAAACTTCTTAAAACAGGCATGGCCAAATTTATTAGAATTTCTGGTTATTACTCTGCAGTGTACTACTTGCCTTTTTATAATGCTACCAAAGTTAGTATTGTCTATAGCATGAGTACTAAAGGCTTCCTAGTGTATTCATTTTTACATATAGGTGTACTACTGACAATTGTTTTCACTTTCAGCTTGATACTACAAAAAGATCTGGAATCTTGACTAATAATACACTAGCATAGTACTCATTACCAAAGTTAGTAATATACAACACAATATCTAATATAACTTCTAGATGCCAAAAATATTTTCAAAATTTAATTAGACTAATTCTTTTCTACAGATCTTCACCATATCTACCACTTTGCTTGTTACTCCCAGTTTGGACATTAATATTACCCTCTCAATCAAGATCTCAGACCCTCTAGGTTGTTGGTGCTACTATGCAAATCTTTCACTATATCCACTACTTCACTTGTTACTTCCAGTTTGAAATATTAAAATTACCCTTCCAAACAAGATTCCAGACCACCTGGGTTGTTGGTATTACCTAAATGCCTTGAGGATTTACACGCACAACCTATTTGTCTCAAACTTTCTATGATGCCACTTGCCAAACATAATGCCAACTCTTTATAGTTTTAATCTTCACAAATTAATATGCACAACCTATTGTCCAGACCTTCTATAATACTGCTTGCCAAATGTGATGCCATTTCTTTATAGTTAGATCTCTTTCCAAGAATTTTCTATCAAATCTGTACTATACTTGAACTTCCACAAGGCTTTATATTTGATTTTGGCTTCTCATCTGTAGGTTATAGAGTTTTTTTTGCCTTTAGCCTGACTCAAACTATGAACCTTGACTTAATTTCCGTGGAGGTTTGGCAATTTTCATGATCTTAATTATTTCTATAACAAATATCCAGACTGTTTTAGTATTAGAACAAAAGAAGCTGATTTATTTACTTTACATATTCTATCTAAAAATATTAATCATCTTAACTATGAATTTAACAAACTATATTATTATTTTAAAATACCAACTTAACTAGCTTTATCTACCTGTCTATATGGCAAATTTTATACAAACTTTATCTTCAAATACTACTAAATTCCTCATGCTATTCTATCTAGACAATTTACAAGCTCTTCTGCAATGAAAAATTTTCTAAATACAATTATCTCAAAAAAATAATTTAATGCAATTACAAAAATTTTACACAAATTACTTATCTTTAAACAACAACAAAAATTTCAATTAACTTCTCAATCTCATTTTCAACTCTTTATACAAACTCCAAACCTACTACAATAGACTTTCACTCTTAATATTATCATATATATAAAATTTGTAAAATTAAAAACATTCTTTGTGTTTTTATAAAAACAAACCATGTATCTAACTACTTTAAAGCTATAATCTTTAAAGGCCTTTTAATCTACCATGATTATACTTACAATCTTCAATATACTAAACTTAAACCTATTTCTTTTACTAAAACTTTTATATACAAACAACAATCTTTATTTTATTTTTATTATTTCTACTAATTTACTAAAGATAAAAAAATTAATTTTCTTTAAATAGAAAAAAAAAATTAAACAAAACCTATATTTACAAACAAATAAATCTAATTATTCAAAAAATAAAACAAAATACTAAACTTAATACTACACTTATACAACAACTCTTTAACTTTACTAAAATTCATTTTTGTAAATTTACCTTAGGCTAACCAAATCTAATTTTGAACAAAAATTAATTTTCTAAACCTTCTCAAAAACAAAGTTTTAACTTTCTACTCAAATCTATAGCTTTAGAAAAACCAGAATTTCTTATTAAATTTCTTTAAGAATCAAATAAATTACTATTTCTTAAACTCAATATTTTCTAATATGCTTATACTACTACTTTAAAAAATTTGCTTACTAAATTTACCAAACTTCTTTTTATCAAACTTAATTATCTTTATATTTTTAAATTATATTATTCAATTTCTCCTTATTTTATTACTAAATTATAACAAAGTTGCAATTAATTTTACATGTTTATATCTTTTTTTTACAACAAATACAAAACAATTCACTATTAAAAATTTATTAAAAAACTTGATATTTACCTACTTAGATATTTACTACAATACAACTTTTAATATAATAATTCAAAAAAACCTCTCTTTAATATCTATAATAATAATCAATTTACTGTTATAATACTTTTAAAACAAAATTTACAAATACCTTCTGTATTTTATCACTCAGGTCCTATTTTAATAATTTTAATTTTTGGTTTGAAAACTTCTTTAAAGTTTACAAAAAACAATTTACAGATATTAATAAAACTAAAGTTTACAACTACCTTAAATACTAAATGGTAACAATACTTGCTAAAAAATATAAAAAATACTTATACTTAAGTTTTGAAATTACAAATCTTTTATTTCTTCAAAATTATTTTTCCAAACTATCAAAAAAGCTCTTTATTATATCTATACTTGCAAAAACAAAGACTGCACAATTCTACTTAAAAATACTAAATACAACTTATCTAATTTATCTACTCTTTTTTTTGACTAATCTTTTAAAACTTTTCCAATACTATCTAAAAAAAAACTTTTAAAACTACTCTAATCAGCCTAGATCTCTCTATCTTCTACTTAGAAAACTAATATTTAGCAATTTTTACAAAACTTTTTTTTATACAAATATTAAACAAACTAGTTACTAAAGCAGATCAAAAGTTTGCTAAAATTAATAATACTAAAATAAATTTTAAATATACTACATATTATTTTTATTCTTACTTTAAAGTCTATTTTAATACAAAATCAGAAAATAACAATATCTCAAACCTTAAACTTGAAGAAGCTTTGGAAAAAACTATCTCTCTAGCTATTAACTTTCATACTTTTGTATATATAATTTTCTATTATAATATTTAAAACCAATCTAAATTATTTCTTACTTAAATCCAACAAGACTATA